GGTTGTGATTGTTGAACAAAAGAAGCAAAATAAAATTTGAAACAAAAACAAGTAAACAAATGTAACAAAGAGTGGTCTTAAGAGTTGGAAAACAGATTTTGAGACTAGGGCATTCGAATCACCATAACAATTCAATTCTGGGTTATAAAGATTCAAGTAACAAGTCTAATTCAGATTCAAAGATTGATTCTAGCTAAAGTATGATTAAGCCATGGTGATTGGTCATAACCTTGTGTTCCTAATTCCCCAATTTGATCATTTGTTGTCTAACCTAAAATTAAGCAGTAGGAACCCATTAAGCATAGAAGAACAATTTAAACAACCAAGCATGTATCTAATCCCTGTTGTCGAATGTCCATACATACTCCTCCTATTCATAGTTCAATTCGAATTAAAGCATAGTGTATACTCTTAATTCAAACCAATCTTGAATGTGGAATGGATGTGGTATTTATAGGGAGAGGGGAGTGATAAATCTGAATTCAATATGGCTAATGCATACAACACTTGCATTATAAAAGATGAATTGGTTGATGCACTTCACTAATGCATACAACACTTGCATTATAAAATCTGAATTGGTTGATGCACTTCACCAATAAATCCCACCAGCAGCCCTAGCTCATCTTCATGTCACCATGACCAAGCTTCCAACCAGCTACAATAGCTCATGCCTAGCTCACCATGACCAAGCTTCCAACCAGCTCATCCTCATGTCAGCATGACCAGCAACTTCTTGGGCTTACGAATTGGGCTAGGCTGAATCAAATGATGACTTTAAGATGTCTATTGTGAAGTTCAGAATGTGTTTGATCCAACCACACAAGTATTGGCCCAATCCAAGCTTGGATGAAGAAGTTAAGGCCAAAACAAATTGCTAACTCGTTTTGCTCGCTGACAAAAATCCATCCTGAGCATGGTTCAGTGTTTGCTAGGTTACGGACTCCAGAGTTATCCAATGGGGCTGAATTTTGGATATGTTATAGTACACACCCATTGGAACAACTTTCATGAAGAATGCGGCCTCATCCGAGCTGTGTAGGTTGCTGAAACAGATCTTGCAATGTGACCCACGAAACTGGACTGGTAAGGGGCTGTAGGAAAAATGAGTTTGTCTTTAAGCTCTTCTTCCATTCATCCAAATTAGGCCTTAACATGCTTGAATTGCATGAATTATGCTCTCTTGCTCTATTGGCCTACAAAACACACAAATAGAGGCAAATAACTCAGAATTATAGGAAACTAAGCAAAAGAAGTAAGTAAATTGGGCATGTATATGTATGAAATTATGAGCTTAACAAATACCATTCACTGATAGCTTGAACTTTTGGGATTCATTGGTTGTCTCGCAAGATATCTAGCAGCTTGAGGAGGTTTCAAAACCTCTAACCCTCATATGCCAACTATATATACAATGTCCATTTGGGTGTACATTTTATTAAGGGTAACGTAATAAATGCAAATGAGTTGTAACTCAAGTGATTAAGTGTGTTATCATTGCACTCAAAATTTTGTGTTCAATTCCCTCCTTTGTCAAACTTGTATAAAATTTTATAATAAAAAATCCAAGTATTTATAAATAAATAAATAAAATTTAAAAAGCAAAAATGAAGGTACCATGAGTAATTTTTGTTTTAATTGTGAAATTCATGATCATGTTCAATTACAAACCCTAAACCATAAATCCTATCATTAACGTGATTAAATTTGGAAGCAAGCACATTCAGCCAAAACCAGAAGGATGATTTAAAGGGTTTGGTGCAAATAATACACACGATAGTCTAAATTACTCTAAACTAATCTAATATATGAGAAGGGGGATTCGAACTTGAATATAAGAGGAAGGGGTGCCCTAATTTAATATATCCATACTTTTAAATTCTATAGATAGACCCCTTTAAGATACTACAAAGATATTGCATAATGCACCAACTTTAATATTCACCACATGGAAACCATGCTTTTCTCATTATTAGAGGGATGTTGGCTAGGCATGGTTGGTAGAGGATGCATCTTCTTCATGATATGATGTAATTCTTATCTCTTAATAAAGATCGCTTCTCTCAAAAAATAAAATAAAATAATAAAATAAAGAAGCTAGCAATCATGATATCTTTATATTCAATTCAAGCCCAAAAGCTTTGTCTTTTATTAGGTTTAACCAAAGTCTTTTTTTTAAATTAAATATAAACCCATATTATTAATATCTTGTTTTGAATGCCCATTTTAAAAGATTTATGGTTCTATTATAATATGAAGACTAGTATTGGGGAACAAAAAGTCTGATTTTATTCATCTTTTACTAATAATTTAAATTTGGAACTTTTTATTATCTTCATAAATCATAATCAAGGTATGAAATATCGATAATATCGACGAAATATCGAGGATATTTCGGTTGTTTCGAATCACAGATATTTTAGAACATATCCATGTACATATCGTATAAATATCAACAATATCGATGATAATATCGGAAAATATCGATGTCGATAATTTCGTTCACGCTTCAGCAATATTTTGTCAAAATATCGGTGTAATATCACTAAAATATCGAAAATATCAATGTAAAGGGGGAAAAAAAAAAAGGAAAAAAGGGAGAAAAAAAACACAAAGGGGATTTGAACCCCTCCCATTTTACTCCTCCAACACCTTCACCACCATATCACTTATGTTTTTGTGATAATATGCTAAAATATTTATATTTATATGGGTGACATGTTAACAATTACATGCAAAACTGTTTTGGGGATTTATCATTTGATGACCTCTCTTCACAATACACTTACTCTACACATAGAGATGATGAAGATAGTGAAAAATTTGAACCTCATAGGAACTCTACGTGGTACTAAGTCACTCATGTATCTTACCATTATAAAGTGTAAAATATTGTAGTAAATCATTATATATAAATGATTATGGTGTGTTTAATCTTTTTTCATTAATTACTACATATTTTCTACACTTATAGTGTTTGCTAGCTCGCTGTATGATCAACTTAAATCAGTTAAATCCATCATGCAATGCATTTCCTTCTAATTTTTTGTGATAAACTAGTAGATAATTGACTAAATAAACATTCCCCAAAGTTTCAATAAAAATTTTCAAGTTTTTCTTACAATTTCCATGGTTTTTATTCAATTTTTATCGATATCGATAATATCCCGATATTTCCATTGAAATTTCCGTGTTTTTGGACTACCGAGACCTTGATCATAATCCACCTACAAACAAGACAAAATTCGTCAAGAAACTGAAAAAGATGTATGGTTCTATTATAATATGAAGACTGTAGTAATAGTATTGGGGATAGGATATGGAAAATTCTACGGTCCTTTAGATTGAGATTAGTGGGATATGGACTAATCTACACCTTGGTATGGAAAATAGGGAAACCTAGGATTCGGGGTAAAAAGGTTTATTAAATATTAAAATATGTTAAGGAATAGTATGAAGATCAACTTAAGCTTATTATTTTATTAAGCACATTGTTTAACTGGGATTGGTACTTGAATTAATAATAAATAAAAGGTGAACGTGGTTCTTGCTTTCAATGTTTCAATATTATTTTCCACTAATCCATCCATGGATCCTTCCTTAAAACTCTAACTTCATTATGTCAACCTCAAACTATAATAAACTATTGTACTGCACCAAGTTGCACTTAACTATTTGACATGTTTGTCTTGCAGCTATATGTTTTATGTTCAAATCAACAGATAAAAAAAAACAATAAATATATAATAATACTAAAAAGGCTAAACAAAAGCAATTTTACTATTATGGATAATCACTTCAAGTGGGTTTAAGTGATTTTATGAAGAAGCGCATAGGAGATGATTATACCCAGAATCACTTAGTGCCTGTTTGGCATTGCTTATTTGGGGTGATAAGTGATTTTAAAAAAAATTTGGGAAGCCCAACCCGTTTGGTAAACTGTGAGAAAATCACTTATTGTTAAAAATTGCTGTGAGAGAAAGCTATAAGGGAAAGCAGCTAATGAGGTGCTGTCATTTTCTGATTATTCAGAAATCAGTTTCGAAGAGGCGTTGGGTTTAATGATTATGGAACAAATATTTTCTGATTTTGTTGAAATCAATATCAACAACACTTTTAACAAAAATTTTACCAAACGCCAAACTGCTTTCTCTTACAGCTGATTTCTCTCACAGCAAATCTAACAGCGATTATTTTCACAGCACAGCAATGCCAAACTAGCCCTTAAAATCATTAAGTGATTCTAATTTCACCATGTAATTGTCAACTTTCTCCTCCTTTGGATTTCACCCAAGACTTTTTAATTTATTGGCATTTAGGTAATTAGTACGCTTGAACATTTAGAAAGGAAACAAAAAATTTGGATAGTGGGGACATGAGATATAACTCTTTTTTTTTGGTGAAAAATGGAAAAGGCGTACGAGCATGCACACTCACAGTGTCTATAATAAGGTAGCTAGCTGGCTGGCTGGCTAGCCAATCTAAATTTAATTGCTCCCAAAAACACACTGATTTTTTGTCCTATTTATTTTAAAAGATGATGAACACTTTGGATTCAACAAATACACTACCATAATCAATTGATTCAACTTATATTTACTAAGAAAAAGAGATGATAACTTGAGAAGAATTTCCCGAAAATGGGATAGAATGATATATATCTATATATATAAAGCAAAGGGCAGAGTATATATAACGACAGTACCTTCCCGTCAATTTCAAAAACAGAAGACAAAAATATTTCATCCAATTTGTCCAATCTTGAACCCTTAGATTATTTAGATGCTCCAGATTTTAATCCATGAATTAGACCAATCGTTTTCTTTTCTATATTTCTCGTGTTCATTTCTTGCATTATTCAAGCAGTACACCTAGATAGATCCAAAAATATGTACCATGTTTTACAACATATTACTCTCTCTCTCTCTCTCTCTCTCTCTCTCTCTCCCCCCGTCTCTATATAAATCTCTACAAATGCATGAACATATTATAGCAAAAGAAAAGGCAAACTAGCAGAGAAACATGATGAACTCTCAGCTGCAAAAACTCAACCATGCTCCGTCCTCTCTCTTACCAAAATCCTCCATTCATACCAATTATCTGATCAGCCATGGAAGCCCCTCCCTCATCAACATCCTTCCACGCCATCCTGTCCGTCAAAATGATCACAATAAGAAAAAGTCCTCCTCCTGCTTGGTAATCCGTGCTAGTTCTGGTGAGCTCGGATCATCTGCAGCAGTGTCCACGGCAACCACAACTATAACCTCAACAGAGAACAAGGCAGTTAGTGTGAAAGCTGTGGTTACAGTGCAGGTAACAGCAGGAGGGTTCCTCTCCAGCATAGTGACTCGGCCCCTCGATGAAATTACCGATTTGCTCGGCAAAACCCTTCTTTTGGAGCTTGTTAGCGCCGAGCTTGACCCCAGTAAGAACTACTAATTTATTCACTTCATTCACTAAAAAATAACAAATAATAATGATTTTTTTTTCAATATTTATTATTATTCATGAAATTTAAACTCAAAATTTTCTTATAGAGACGGGGTTGGAGAAGGACAGGATCAAGGGGTATGCGCGCAAAGCCAGCCACAATGATGAGGAGGTGATATATGAGAGTAGTTTCAACATCCCAGCAAGTTTTGGAGAGGTTGGAGCAATTGAGGTAGAGAATGAGCACCACAAGGAGATCTTCATCAAGACCATCGACCTCCAGGGCTTCCCAAATGGCTCTGTTAATGTTCCATGCAATTCTTGGGTTCATGCCAAGTCTGACAATCCACAGAAGAGAATCTTTTTCACTAACAAGGTTTACATATCCTTAATACTTTTCTTTAATTTCTAGTAATTACAGCTTCTTAATCTTACTTATACTTCAATCTTATGTGTGTTCATTTATTTTATGTGAACAATGGAGCAGTCTTACATACCATCAGAGACACCAAGTGGGTTGAAGAGGCTAAGAGAACTAGAGCTGGAAAATTTGCGAGGAAATGGAGAGGGTGAAAGAAAAACATCCGATAGGATTTACGATTATGACACATACAATGATCTTGGAGATCCTGATAGCAAAGATGAACTGGCTAGGCCTGTCCTTGGCAGCAAAGAACATCCATATCCCAGGCGCTGCAGAACAGGACGGCCACGCACCAAAAAAGGTAACCAAATTCCCCAAATAACTATGTGCTTAATGTTTTTGAAAATGGAATATATCTACTTTAACTATATACGAACCATTTGTTTATTTGGAATGTTGCTTAAGCATGTGTAGTTGTATGGTTGAGAAACTATTAGAGCTATGCGATTAACTGTATCATATTGTTATGTCAATGCAGACCCCTTATCAGAAAAAAGAAGCAGCAGTGTGTATGTACCAAGAGATGAAGAGTTTGCAGAGGTCAAACAACTCACATTTTCAGCAAAGACCCTGAAATCTGTGCTGCACGCGTTGCTGCCTTCGCTTGAGACAGCGCTTCTTAATCCAAAATTAGGATTTCCATACTTCACAGCGATTGATTCACTGTTCAATGAAGGAGTCACATTGCCTAAGCCAAAAACTAGTGGGTTTTTTCAGACAATCATCCCTAGGCTAGTCAAGACCATTACTGATGGGGAAGACGATCTTTTGCTCTTTGAGACCCCCGAAATAATTGACCGTATGCCCTCCTCCTCTCTCTCTCTCTCTCTCTCTCTCTCTCTGTATGTATGTCTGTGTCCTCTTTTAAGTAAGAGAAAAGACCAGATTGTCTTTGTCCTTTTGATTAAGCTAATCGTTTTTTACAGGTGATAAGTTTGCTTGGTTTAGAGATGAAGAATTTTCTCGGCAAACTCTAGCTGGTCTTAATCCGTACAGTATAGAACTTGTCACGGTATGCTTTCTTATACATACAAGTACAACTCTTTCTCTTTAGTAAGAAAATCAAACTTCTACGTTCCCTTCCTCCCGTCCATCTTCCTTGTTGGTCAAGTGATTACGGTGTTTAATAGCATATCTTGTTTTCTCTTGTGGTGCTAAATTCTGTATTTTTATACCTGCAGGAGTGGCCATTGAAGAGTAAACTTGACCCTGAGATTTACGGCCCACCTGAATCATTGATTACAACAGAACTGATGGAGAAAGAGATCAAAGGTTGTATGACTGTCGGTGAGGGAACACCAAATAGACACCAACGCTCCCATATTTTTCTTATTGTACACCTTTAAACTGGACGAAAATTTTCCCCCATTGATGCATATAACTTGAAATCGTGTAAACTGTGTGTGTCCTTGTGCACGCCAATTGCTTGAACTTGAAATGCAGGCTTTAAAAAGAAAGAAGATGTTTATTTTGAATTACCATGATCTTTACATGCCTTATGTGAACAAAGTAAGAGAGATTGAAGGAACCACACTGTACGGTTCTCGGACACTACTCTTCCTCACCGAGGATGGGACGCTGAGGCCTGTTGCCATTGAACTCACTCGACCACCGGTTGGTGACAAGCCACAATGGAAGCAAGTGTTCACCCCAACCTGGGATGCCACTGGTTGCTGGCTGTGGAGGCTCGCTAAAGCCCATGTTTGTGCTCATGATGCTGGATATCATCAGCTTGTCATCCACTGGTAAGCAAATCTGTGCCCAAGTGATGCTTCTAGCTCATGCCTTCAGTTCAAGCAAGAATCTACTCTAATGGGGATTTGAAAAGTAGCAAATATGTCAGTGTTGCATGGTTGGTAACATGTTTGCACTGTTATATTTTCACAGGCTGAGGACTCATTGTGCTACAGAGCCATGCTTATGACCAGCTCTGGCGCTTTGACACGGAAGCTTTGCCAGCTGATCTCATCAGAAGGTATTTCACATGATACGACTAATATAAGATTGATCCAAACCATGTGTTGTTGCAGGCAACTTTTGTATAACAAAGAATTTTCAATCTAGTTGCTACCAATCTTAAAAGACAAAAACTTCATTTGAAACGCCATGGAAGTTCATCGGCTAATTACTGTATGCTTTAATTTCAGGGGAATGGCAGTTGAGGATCCTACAGCTGAGCATGGCTTGAAGCTAACAATTGAAGACTACCCATTTGCAAATGATGGTCTCATTCTTTGGGATGCCATTAAGGAGTGGGTGGGTGACTATGTAAACCACTACTATCCAGACCCAACTCTTGTTGAGTCTGATACGGAGCTTCAAGGTTGGTGGACAGAAGTTAGGACAAAAGGCCATGCAGACAAGAAAGATGAGCCATGGTGGCCTGTTTTGAAAACCCCAGAAAATCTAATTCACATTTTGACAACCATTATTTGGGTAACAGCTGGGCATCATGCAGCTGTGAACTTTGGACAGTACATGTACGCTGGATACTTCCCAAACAAGCCTACAATTGCTCGTACCAATATGCCAACCGAAGATCCGTCTGAGGAGTTTTTCAAGAACTTTTTGAAGAAACCCGAAATGGCACTGCTGATGTGCTTCCCCTCACAGATTCAAGCAACAAAAGTGATGGCTGTCTTGGATGTGTTATCTAATCATTCACCTGATGAGGAGTATCTTGGTGAGAATCTGGAGTCATCCTGGGCTGAAAATCCTGTGATAAATGCTGCATTCGAGCGGTTCAATGGAAATTTGAAGAGGCTGGAAGGAATTATTGATGAGAGGAATACCAACTTGAAACTGAAAAACAGAGTTGGAGCAGGTGTTGTTCCATATGAGCTTTTGAAGCCATTCTCAACACCTGGGGTCACGGGAATGGGAGTTCCTAACAGCATCTCCATCTAAATTTGATGATGATGCTCTAAAAACTGTACGAGTACTTGGCCCTTAATAAATGAATGAATAACATGGGTTGCCTAAAAGTTCTGTTCAAAACTATTTTCGTTCCATCCCACTCTTGTTCCACTCAACTTGAAGTCATCAGATAATTTGTTGAGTGGAAGAAGTAAAAATGTTAATGGGACTAGAGACCATATGAAAGTGAATAAAATAAAATTGGAAATTGCATTTGGTAAGATAAATAAGGACAGATAATTATAATACAAAGAAGAACTGGACCTTCGAAGCAATTAATCAAATAAAGTCTCTGTGTGGAAAAGAGATTTGAAAATGCTGGATGATGATCTAGGAAGAGCCCAAAGTAGGGCTGTGCCTTGTTAGCTTTTTTCTTTTCTGGCTTCGGCCTGCCTTGTAACCAAAAAAAAAAGAAAAGAGATTTGAAAATGCAATAGTAAATACTGAGTTACATGATTCAGCCCTTGGAAATCCAATAGCAAATAATGAGTTACATGATTCAGTGGAGAAAT